GTAGAGCACCACCACTGGTGCGGTAGAGCACCACCACTGGTGCGGTAGAGCACCACCACTGGTGCGGTAGAGCACCCCCCACTTGGACGTCACCCAAGGCGCTTTGCGTCAGTAGCGCCCGCGCAGGCGCATCGTGCGCCGTTCGTCTCGTGCAAGAACGATTTAATTTAACGATATTTTTACCGAATAATATTTAGTGGTATAATTACATTATTCGTTGCGAATCATAGTCGCTCATCTAAAAAATAACGAACTGTAATGTCACCAAATTATTATAACATTTATCACTGGGTGTGTTAGTCACATTGATATCTGGTGAAACTTAAAGAAACTGAGTCAAATTTTAAACTGAAGTTTATGCTTTAAGGAAATATTGGTGTCGGTGACGAGTGCAAGAGACAAGTAATTGAATAAGTGCAAGATAATGAAATTAATGTAGATTTTAGTTCATTCACGATATAAGATACGAGCAGCGCCGTCACGACATAAGATACGAGCAGCGCCGTCACGATATAAGATACGAGCAGCGCCGTCGCGATATAAGATATACGAGCAGCGCCGTCACGATATAAGATACGAGCAGCGCCGTCACGATATAAGATACGATAATCGCATTTACAGTGTTCATACTTTATGCGTATAATTAGAGATCATATGATCTCTAATTATACCTATATCACTTTTAAAATTATATCACTTTTTCATGTAGTATTCGTGTGCTCGAGTATGCATGCCTCAGTGCGCAGTAGGTGCCATTTATTCAAATGGTTGAATTTAACAAAGAAAAAATATCCTAAGTAGAACAGTTAACCTGATATGAGAAAAATTGATTTGCTTGGTTAGCAGTACAATACTTGTATGTTTTATACTGAATACTAAGTACATACATGTGCTTGCACAATACAGTGTACTTGTACTAAAAACGCACGCTTATAATGCATTGCTTGAGTGGCTTAAAAACATAATAAGATATAAACGGTCAATTATTGAACTTGCACGTTCCAATGCTCCCAGCTATTAAACGGGCATCAAGCCTGAAGAAGAGATGCACGTAACGCGTATAAACATGATGCAAGCATTTAGGCATAATGAGATGCACTCTGTATATCAGACTCATGAACTTGTTCATGTTCACCCAAGTCTCGCAGCGCTATTCTTGGCTACGAGGTGGCGATAGTCTCGGCTGAGAGAGCCTCGCGTTATGCTGCACCGCTATATTTACGTTTGTTGTTACAAGCTTTTCACTTACGTTCGTGGTGCATTTGTTTGTATAAGACATAACTAACGATAACCGTATATTTGTTTGGTGAAGTGCCCTCTTGTTCGAACTCTAGCTTATTGGGCATCCGTTGTTGGCGGCGCTAAAACTGCTGTGCGTCTTCCGAATCTGAGGTCGGTTGTGAGAACTGCCTTGACGCTATTGATATATGCTTACGACTCAAATTTCAATATCAAAATTTTAAATATTTATAGTTCCAAATTTAACGAATTATAAAAACTATTGTGACATACTTCCTGAATAATTCGTATTGAACACGAACAACGTGATCGGTTCAAATTTTAAAATTGGTAATTATGAAACCTCGCTGAACCAGTCAAATCACATATTGACGGTAGCTGTTTTATTAGGCTCGTTCTGTATTGTTATTTCGTGAATTAAATTCAGGCCGGGGAGACTTGAGCCGCGCCTTGATTATACCAGTTTTAGAATTGTATTATATTACAGACAACTATTACAGTAGTAGAAGTGGTGTCGATCAAACCGCGCTGTGAAATCTTCACATTAAATCATGGTTGAGCTATCTTTGCCGTTCCTCTGCACGCAGTCATGTTCGACACACAAATGGGCGATTTTAGTTTAATTGCTTGGCGTATTTTACTATGACGTAATTCTAGCCAACTAAAAATTGGTTACAGTAGGAATTTATTTACCTGTATGTAGTTAAATTCTAGGTACCTCTAGACTAGAAGTGGTCGAATTATAGTGTTTATAATGTGAACTTGCACTCGTATGGCATATTGGAGTACAAAAGTTATTTTCTATGCACAAGTTGCGTGGATCTTTACTTGTCACACATGAGGATCACGTGGAGAATACGTGACATACGTAGCTTAATTCTTGCATTGAAAAGGCCAAGCATTATACTGAACTACCGGATGGAACTGTTCTACCAGTTCCACTTAGAATTACACTTACAAATAACAAGAGTAGTTATAGTCGTATCTCTTTTTTGTGGAATATTATCATATTTTCCCGTTGTTGTCTATTATATAATAATCTGTAGACGTACTTATAGAACCTTTTATAACATTCTAAGCACTTTTAGGGACACTTTAAGCTTTATTTTTTTTGTAAATTTTCATTTACCAGAATTTATATTTTAGGTTCCTATTGCTACATTGGATGTATGCACCTACTCCTTTCAGTATTGATGTACCATTATACTTTCGCAGTAGGTACCTGTTGCACTGTAAACAGGTAGCATGAGTTAAGATGACATCGTGACTCAGAAATGAGACGATTCAAGCCTTTGCACCCGACCATGCTGCACGGTACATGTATTGAAGGCATCACGGGTTTTCTGTTTATCATCTTTTCGTCATGTATGCCAGATGCTGCCAGCCTCCTTTTCAGTTGACCATTTTTCTTCCTGTTTCAGTTTGAATTTTACAGTGAAGGGTTACTCAAGAGGAAGAGCTGTATTGCTTCCTGTTTTGTGGTTAGGATTCACGATGCGGTTGTGTGTTGCGTGTGACTCAAGCGATACCTACCCACCTTATGACGAGTGAGGAATGTCAATTCTAATTTTGGGCAAAACAATGATAAGAACTTCAATTATTTTGAGGTTTTCGTCTTTCGTAGGTGATATCAAGCAGTGTTTGTAGTTGCAGGATGGATGTGAACCAACGCGCCTTTTCCTCCTCAAATTTGACCATGCATTCTCAAGGGATACTTAGCCCCCCATGGGCCTGCCCTCCCCCAATACGGGCTCATTCAACCATGAACCTCTCTGGGCCCCAATCTTCCAACCGCAACCGGGCCCTGTCGTGGTCCCCGGTGAGATTCGATTCCCCGGTGAAAACATCTTGCCTACCCTGGGTGCGCAAAGATACAATCGAGGCTCCACTTAAAAAGAAAACCTCCATTGACGGGTCAGTGCTTAAAGCCAAATTGGTATGGGAGGAAAAAAATGCCACTACATCAAAGGAGGTCTTGAATACCGAAAAAGAACTCCCTAAGAAAGCCAGCGGGTCTTTTCGTTTTCGAAAAGCTCCCTCTATCGTCCCTAATTTGCAGAGGAGCTCGACCGGTGGAAATATCTTCCCTACACTTGATCCCGTCGGTTCGGGAAGTCCAAAGTTGCGCGAGAAAAAGAATCCTCCTTCAAGTATTGCGCTGGATGACGTGTCGCGTAGACGACTTGGATTCGTTCAAGTCGAATCCGATCATACGGAAAATTTATCCGATGCCGAGGCTGACACTGTCAAAGATGCCCAGGAAATCGTCAACGATGTGAGTTTGGTGGTGTTTAATCTAATGACATGTATCCTTAAAGTCCCACATGCAGGCTTAATTCCTCTCTTACTTCTATATGTCATATAATTCACGTAATTTCTTCTCGTTATTAATTTCCTGTCCTTGATTTACTTCGTATTCGAATGCACATCAATGTTTATTATATAATATTAGTTGTTTGTTTGCAATCTGAATAGTACACAACATGGTCGTTATTATATCGCCAACCAAAGAGCAGATTACTTCGCAATCGCGATGATTATCTGCTTAATTATCACAATAGACCTCCTGAGTACGTCAAATTAACCTGCTACACTAAATTTTTCTCCCCTAAGGATTTAGTAGCTGGGTTAACCTATATAGGTACCGTATTGCTTATCACAACCTCTGGAGCAACGCCGGCTCTACCTCTTGTGCATGTAGTATTTCATGCAGTAATTAACTTGGAGAAAATTTGTGTTCTATTCCCCGAACGTCTGTTGTGTGCTGCTAGCGTCCACCAAGCGTGTTGTGTCTCTTGTCTGCATGTGTGTAGCGTGCGCTCTGTGTAGTCTTGAATGCTAGCTGTACTGTGAGTGAATCTGCCGGTGCCATGCTCCGAGTGTGTATGTATATTCAGAATAATATTTTTTGTGCGTGTACTGTTTACAGTGTGATTATACTGTACACGTCTATAATGTGCACGCCTCTCCATATTTTACACGTGTTGACAGTGCACGCTTGGTAAGTGAACAGTGCACGACTGTTATCAAATAACGCTGGTTAAAAGTGCACGACTGTAACCAATGAACGCACTTAATAATGCACATGTGTTAACAGTGCGCGCTTGTTAACAGTATACTCTACTCAATATAGTGCACACGTGACAACAGTGCACGCTTGTTAACAGTGCACACGTGTTAACAGTGCACGCTTGTTGACAGTGCACACGTGTAAACAGTGCACACGTGTTAACAGTGCTCACGTGTTAACAGT